CTCCAGGGCCTGCGCCGCTGGAGCAGCGAGGGCAGCGCGGCGCCGCCATCTACATCTCGGACGCGATCGCTGCCCTCGGCCACGAGCCGCCAGAGCCCCCGCAGCAGCGGAGGCCACAAACGCCACGGCAGCAACCAACAGACGAGGAGTGGCGCAGGGATGAGTGGTGGCGCACCAAGGAGGGCGAGGAGCGCGAGTGGCAACAGCCGAGCGGCGAGGCTTCCTCGCTGCAGGACCGCATGGTCGACTCCGCCTGGCGCGACATGCAAGTTGCATTCGGCAGCGACCAACGCCCCAGTGACTGGTGGAGCAGCCACAGTGGGTGGAGTAGCGGCCAGGGGCACTGGGAGGTCGCGACCACGACTTGGAGGTGGGTCGAACCCCCCCCCGAAACCAATCCCTGGGAAAAACTTAGTTGAACCATCGCACAGGAGCCGCCCCTCCGCAGCAGCGGAGGGAGGCCTCATCGGCCGAACGTCGACCCTCCGCAGCAGCGGAGGCCTTGCCAATGCATCGTGAGCGGCGGCGACTCGCGCGCGCCGTCGTGCTCGGCGACCGCTGCCCGAGCGGAGAAGGAAAAAGAAACGGTGCTTTCATCGGTGCTGTCGTTGCCTCCTCTCCTTCATCGTTTTCTTCTCCCTCCCCCTCCAATCCCCCATCCCGCTATCACATTTTATCGTCTCCAATCGTATCGGGAGCTCCCGTGGCAGAAGAGCACCCAGAACGAGGTCCTCCGTGACAGAGGGGGGGGCATCTCAGACCCCCTCTGTGACAGAGGGGGGGCATATTTGACCCCCTCTGTGACAGAGGGGGGGCCAAAAAACAAGTGATCACTTTAATGCGGCTTCTGGATTACCGTTATGTCGGGCGTGTCCCCCTAGAGGGGAATTTTCAACGAAAAATAAGAGTACCCCCAAAATACTCCAAAAATGAAAAAAGAAAATCAAAAAAATAGTCCCCAGACCATTTTTGGATTATCTTTTGACTATGTTTGGGGTATTCTTTATTTTTCGTCGAAAATCCCCCTGTAGGGGGACAGGCCCGACTTAAGGTTGCCGCCCAGTGCCGCCTGTGGTGGTGTCCAGAGGCTTCGCCACGTCTCGGCCCGTTGGTGCTGGTTTCGGGCCGGACGAAAAGGGGGGGGACTGGGAAGGGGGGGGGGTACGAAATTTGCTGCATGCGGCTGGTGTCGGCCCCACCGAGGGGCTCATTCCTCGATACATGGCCGCCTCCGGCGCCGGGAGGCGCCAGGAAAATCAGCTACGTGAGCTGATTCTCAACCCCCCCCTTTGCTATCCCCCCCTCTCGCCCAGCCCGATAGGTTGCCGCCGAGGAAGGTGTCCCGAGGATGGCCCATTTTTTCCGGCCCGTTGCTGCCCGTGGACGGCCAGTGCCGCGTGTGAGGGTGTCCCGAGGATGTATACGTATACGTGCTCCGCGAAAACGACCGCCGAGACATTCGCGCATCACATAGCTTACGCATCCACAGTGTCGTAGCTGACAGTTCGGAGCCCACGCCTGGCAGACCTTACGTTTCAGTCGGGCGGTGTCCCTCTACAGGAGGGATATTCAAAAGTAGTCAAAAAATAGTCGGGAGCTATCTTATGAGCATGTTGGTGCTATGTTTGAGCATTCTTGGTGTATTTTAATTCTTCGTCCAAAATTCGCCTGTAGGGGGACAGGCCCGACCCAAGGGTACCCTAATGTTCTTCGTGCTTGTTGGATGCTCTGGTGCATCCTGGGGGAGGGTACCCTCGAATGTATTTCAGTTTGGCTGGCGGAGGGTCTCTCGTTCTTGAAGGATGTGCGTGTGTCCTAGGTCCAGTTGTAGTTATTCAGGCGATCGTAAACATGGATTAAGGGGGCGTGGATTAGCGACGGATCCCGCTTCCATTGGGAATCAAGGGTTTCCGCCGCCGAGCGAGGCGGCACCGGTCGCATTTTGAGGAGGGCACCTCCCCCGATCCATGTTGGCGCGCCCCCGAGGTCTCATGTTCTCGAAGGATGCTCTTGTGCACGAGGTCCGGCTGCAGTTAACCCCAAGCGGTCGGGAGCGTGGGGGCCACGGACTCGGGCGGCGCTGTGCTCTCGGCGGCCGGAGGGGCCGCCAGAAGATTACCCAGGGCCGCCAGGGAAGTACCAGGCCCCCCGGAAGTGGTCGAGGGGCCCGCGGACCCCGCGTTGAGCAAGTCAAGACTTCAGTCGGGCCTGTCCCTCTACAGGGGGGATACTCGAAGATGGTCAAAGAATAATAGTCTGGGGACGATTTGTCGATTTTCTGTTTGACTATCTTGAGGTACTTCTTGAGAGCTGTAGGGGGACACGCCCGACGGAAGTCGAGACACCGGGGGCCGAAGACGGCCAGAGGCCTCCCGTCCTGACTTGTTTCCCACGAGCCGGGCCTAGCAAGGGTCCGGACTCTGCACGCCCGAAATGGGTGCAGAAAGAACGGGCACAATGCCCAACAGCAGCTCCTGTTCATTTTGAGCAGAGATCGCTGTGCGCGCAGCCGCGGCCCGTGTCCATGTGAGACAGAGGGCCGCCTGCCCAACAGCGGCCGCTGTCGGTTTGGGACAACATTTGTTGTCGGGCATTGTACCCATCCTTTCCGTACCCATTTCGGGCGCCCAAACAGACACCAGAGCTCGAGAACGGCCAAAAGCGTCCCGTCCTCATTTTGTCACGACGCTGGCATGTCTGTGTACCCATGTCGGGCGTCCAGGCACGGGGCCTCCAGACAGTGGGCTGTCCTGTGGCTCCACCATGGAGCACCAGGGAGAGGGACTTTTTGAGACGGGCGATGCTGGTTTCTCAAGTCCGCGCGGCTTCGCCCGTGAGGTCTCCGCGTGACGCTTTCACTCGCACTCTTCGGAGTCTAAGATGCAAGGCCGCGGTCTCAGAAGTCCCTGTCGCTGGCGTCCCTTACATATATATATATATATATATATATATATATATATATATATATATATACAAAAAAAAAAAAAAAGGAATCAGGCTGGAGGGGGGCTGCAGCAGCGCTCCCGGGCGCTCTTCCCCGGCCGCGGCGCCCGACGTGCGCCTCGGAGCTGCCGGGCCGCCTCGGCCCTGCGCCCGAGCGCTTCTGACTTGTGATCGTCTCGCCTACGCTGTGGCACTCACGGACGAGTCGGGGGCGGCCGAGAGGAGGGTGGTGACTGGGGTGAAGTCGTGCCTGTCCCTCGACAGGGGACGAATTTTCTGGCATGGTTTGATTCTGTTTGAGCATGCTGGGGACATCTTCTATGTGTCATCCAAAATCCGCCTGTAGGGGGACATGCCCGACCCAAGGCTAAGGGGGGATATCATGGCGGGGGGCATGATATCTCCTCAAGTTTCATGACGCCTCTTCGTATTTCTATACGTCCCCGATCCCCCCCTGGGCCGCGCACATGCCTCCAGCCATGATTTGCGCCCCCTTTTCTCGGACGTCCCCCTCTTGGCCGCTCCCGCACAAGAACTTCGTGCTCTGGGCGTGCTCTGCCACCCGCGGCTCCCTCTCACTCCTGCGCGCTCTTCCCGCTCCTGCCGTGCCCACTTCGGCCCCGCGGTGCCCCTCGGTTGCCTCGACCGCCGCGGCGGAGAGCCGATGCGCTGCGATTCCAGGATGACGATCGTCTCCCCGCTCGTCCCCGAGAACCATCGCGCGCGCTCTCTTCGGGGACAGCGTCAGGGGGGGGGTGGCTGGACCGGGGGGGAGCATCGACCCCCACTCGCCCATGCGTCGCCGCCCGAGGCTTGATGGCCCACTCCGCCACGGAGCGTGCGGTCTCGCCGTCGAGGGCTGGTCGCCGACTCGTCAGCGCCGCATCCCCGGTGCCAGGGCGGTCGAAACCGAGCCGGCGCGCGGGCCGCCCCGCAGGCCCGCCCCGCCCGGAAGCGCGCGGGTTCGCGATCGGGGGCGCATCGCATCGGGCGGATCGCGGATTCTGTGGGGAAACACAAAAAAAACATTGTGGGAGGAAAAAAAAAAAAGAAAAAAAAAAACATACAAAAACACACTGAAAAAAAACAGGTGTGTTTTGTGTGTGTGTTTTTCCCGATGGACGCTTGCCCCCCCCTGAGCCGCCCCTCCCCCGCCGACATCGCCCTCGGCAGCAAATCACGGGAGCCTTGCATGTCCTCGTGACTCCGCCTTTGAAGCTCGCTGGCGTGCACTGGCGTCTGGCAATCGACGAGACGGCGTCGAGCTGGTGTCGACCGGCGTCGGCCAGCATCGACCAGTGTCAGTTCAGCGTCGGCCAGCGTCGGCTTGCAAGGGTCAGCAAGATGGCCATTGGAGGCCCCCGCGAGTTGCCACCGAGTGTTGCCCGTCCGCCCTCTGGGCGGCCAAGCCGCCCTGAGGAGGGAGGAAGAGCCCGAGGCGCGCGCGGCGTGCCGCGCAGCGCGCTGTACGGCGGGCCGCGGGTGGCGCGGGCTGCCTGCCGCGGGCGCGGCGGAGGAAGAGGGGCGGGCGGGCGCTCCTCCTCGTCCTTCTCCTCCCTTCCTCCTCGTCCTTCTCCTCCCTTCCTCCTCCTCCTCCTCCTCCTCCTCCTCCTCCTCCTCCTCTCCTCCTCCTCCTCCCTCCTCCTCCTCCTCCTCCTCCTCCTCCTCCTCCTCCTCCTCCTCCTCCTCCTCCTCCTCCTCCTCCTCCTCCTCCTCCTCCTCCTCCTCCTCCTCCTCCTCCTCCTCCTCCTCTCCTCCTCCTCCTCCTCCTCCTCCTGCTCCTCCTCCTCTATCCTCCTCCTCCTCCCCTCCCCCTCCTCCCCCTCCTCCCCCTCCTCCCCCTCCTCCCCCTCCTCCTCCCCCTCCTCCTCCTCCTCCTCCTCCTGCACCTCCTTCGCGGGCGCGGCGGAGCTCGAGATGGAGTCGGCCGGGTGTCTAGCAGGAAAGGACGGGGGGAGTTGCCAGGAGTGCCCCCGGCCCCAAGGTTCGTTGTGTCATCTCGCGCAAGGTCCCCGATGCGCACGCTGCCCCCCCTGACCCGGCGGCGCGTGCTCCCCAGGCAACGCGCCCTAGCGCCCCACTCGCGCGCTCTGCTCCGTCCCCACCGCCCGGGCTGGGGCCGGCCGAGGGGCGCGCCATGCAGGCGGGCGAGGACCAGCTGCGCGCAAGAGCGGCCCCTCTTTGAGAATGGAAGAGGAGGAGGAGGAGGAGGAGGAGGAGGAGGAGGAGGAGGAGGAGGAAGACCGGTGCAAACCCAAGACTCATCAACGATGCTGGAATACGCCTTTCTTCCGAGCTCCCTCTTCATAGGTCCCTCCAATGGTTCATGTGCACTAACGGGAGTACCACGTTGGGAGACAACCGTGTGAAAATCATGAAGCGCATCAAAACGCCATTCTCAAGACGGCAACGGCACGAGTCAAACTGACTGTTGCGTCTTGACGATCCTGAATCGTACCAGAGCACCATCCCTGGGAAATCTCAACACCGCGAATCAACGTAACTGTTGCGCCCTGACAGTCCCGAATCGCTCCCAAACAGCAATTCTATTACACTAACCATGAGAATCCGCGAAACAGTTGCGCATGATTTAAACGGATCCGCGCGGCGCTAAGGCGAGAGCCACATGTTGAAAAGAAACCACCCGCAATCCGTGCAACTCTTGCAAATGCGCGCGGCGCTAAGGCGAGAGCCACACATTTTGAAAATGAATCGCCCGCGCAACCCTTGCAATTGTTTTAAAAGAATGCGCCTAGCGCTAAGGCGAGAGGAACATCTTGAAAACGACCTGCCCTCCAAGTGCGAAACTCCTGCAAGTGTTTAAGACGAATGCGCGCAGCGCTAAGGCGAAAGCCACATTTTGAAAACGACCCGCCCTCAACCCGTGAAACTCTTGCAATGTTTCACGACGAGTGTGCGCGGTGCTAAGTCGAGAGCCACATCTTGAAAACCACCCGCCCTCCATGTGTGAAACTGCGATCAGCTTCTACGCTGCAGGCACATAAATGTTAAGGAAGTCTCAGGCGAAACGCCTGGCCCGCGGTTCCGACTAGCCTCTGGGCGCGACAGGGAGGAGTTATTCACAAGGAAAAGGAATAGAGGAGGAGGAGGAGGAGGAGGAGGAGGAGGAGGAGGAGGAGGAGCAGGGGGCCATCTTTGGTCCTCTGGGAGGCACGCCTTATCCAAGACCTCCGACGCTCCCAGCCTTGGCTCTCCCGGCTAGTGTCAGAAGCGGAGGAGGAGGAGGAGGAGGAGCAGGACGAGGAAGACTCCCCCCGCTGCCCCCCAGAGCCGCGCACCAGAGGGCGCCCCTTGCCCAGGGGGTCGGTCTCCTCTTGCGCGCCAAGCCGGCGAGGAGGCGCGGGCGAGGGCGGCGGCGATTTGCGACCTGCTTCGGACCCCAACACTTGCGGATCCAATCGGCGCTGGGGTACCCATCGGTCGTTGCAAATAGGTATTTCTGGATTCCCAGTTCCCACTCTACTTTAGCCGCCTTCCTACTTCAAGAGTCGAGTGGTTTTCCCTTCTCCCTCCTCTTCAGGGGGCGGGCGGAGACCCAATCGACTTCCAACGCCTTCCTCCTAATGGTTATACCTACTTCTTCCGACCGATGGGTATCGGACACCCCGCTGAGGTTCACTTGCAGAGATCTGTCGAATTCTGAACCCCATCCGGTGTTGTCAGAAGGCGGGGGAGGAGGAGGAGGAGGAGGAGGAGGAGGAGGAGGAGGAGGAGGACCCACCACCTGGGGAATCGGCCTTCCTGTACCCCGGGAGGCGGTTGGCACGTGTATGGATATCAGGACCACGCACGCGCGCCGCGCTTCTGCTCTAGCAAGCACTGGTTGAAAGTCCACACTGTTCCCCACGCTGCGGCCGAATTCGGCGCCGCGAGTGTCCGCGGGCGCGCGCTGCCCCGCGCCGTGCTGCTGCTCCGGGCGCTCCCCCCCAAGGAAAATGCCCGACGCATTCCGCATCGGAGGACAGATATTGTCACACGGATCGCGCCCCGCAGGGAGTTCCACAGACCACAGCAGAGACGGGCTTGGTTGAGCGTCCCCCAGCTGCGGGCCCTGGTGGAGGAAGGCCTGGTGGACGCGATCTTCGGCGGACCCCCCTGCTCGACCAGGGGCCGAGCGAGGTTCCGCCCCGGGGGCCCCCGACCCTTACAACGACGCGGCAGGTAACGCTGGGGGCCCCCGAGGGGTCGGCTCACGACGGCCGAGGCGGCTCGGCTGGACGAGCGCAGCCACCCGATGCTCACCCACCCGACGCTGCGCAGCGGCGCGGCACGCCGCGGCGGCGCCTGGGCTGGGGGCTCGAACATCCCGATGGCCCGGTGGAGGCGCCGCATCCCGCCATCTTCGACGCGGGCATCTTGGGAGGCCCGGAGGCGAGAACAGGATGTCGGCGGAACACTTTCGACCAGCGCATGGCGGGCGGGGCTCCACAGAAGCTTGCGAGGGCCACGGGCTCGGCCACGCGGGCCGAGGCCGGCGCGCGCAGGTGCGACGGCGCCCAGTCTCACGAGCTGAGCTACGGCACGGTCAACGGGGCCTTCCGGACGACCAAGCCAGCCGCTTATCCGCCCGCTCTGCGCAGGTAGATGGCGGAGGGCATCGCGGCGACGCCGGCGCGCGTGGCGGGGACAGGAAAGGGCCCGACGGGCCGTGGGAGATCGAGCAGGCGCCGCCCGGGGATCTTTTTTGTGAAAAATTAAACGCCTCCTCTTCCTCAGCGCCCCGGGGGGGCGAAGGTCAACGAGCTGGCCCACCAGGAGGTGGACGCGCTGGAGGACGTCGGCTTCGTGGTCAAGGATCGGAGGAAGCACTGCCCGGTCGACCGCATCGCGGGCAACGAGGTCGCGGCCAGTCCAGCTCGAGCGCGAGCATCAAGAGGATGGCGGCGCTGCTGCACGAGGCGCCGGAGGCGACGACGAAGAGGGAGCGGGTGCACCTGGACCACCTGGCGTCCGCCATGGGCATCTGGATCTGGGCCGCGCCGCAGCACCTTCCAGTTCACGCGCCAAGAGGGCTGCCGTCGGAAAAGACGGCGGCCCTCGGCGCGGCGGCAGGCGATCGCGATGAAGAGGGCTGTCATGGGCCTCTACGCCGACCCAGGGGGCCCGCTGCCGCCGCTGCCGTTCGCGCGGCCCCGGGACTTCGACGCGGGGGGGCTTCGGCGCGGTCGCGGCGCGGGCCGGCCAGAAGCGGGCGGGGGATCTGCGGCGCTCGGGCACACGGTTTGGCACGGCGGTCGCCAAGCCAGGCCAAGCGCAGGAGGCGTTGGACCGGGGACCGCCGCCCCTGGAGCCGCATCTGCCCGCGAGCGCCATCGCCGGAGGCTGGATCGACAGCGAGGCGAAGCGGGCGCCTGTAGAGTCGGGGCGCGGGAAGTGGGAGGACCGCATTGCGCTGGCAGAGGGCCGCGCAGCCTTGCGAGCCCTGGCGCGGCTCGCGGCCACCCCGTCGGCCCGCCGCTCGAAAGCGCTCAGCCTCGAGGACAACGTGGCCTTCGCTGGCGTCGCAGCGAAGGGTCGATCTTCAGCTGGACCAGTCAACTACATTCAGAGGAGGAGGTGCGCGCTGACCAGCGCTGCGGAGATCAGAATGCACCCCCCATCGGGCGAAACGGAAAGGGCGCCCGCGGATGGCCTCTCGCGCACGAGAGGACGCGGTTCAGGCCCAGAGGGGCACAGCGCCCCAGAGTCGGACGCAGCGGCGCGCGGCCAACGCACCATCCAGAATTGGCGGTAGACAGCCCGAGGGCGCCAGACGACGCGAATTTGGAGAGCCGAGTGCAACCAATTATCTTGCTGACCTACTGACAGCGAGCGGCCGAATTTTACGAGCGGTGCCTGTTGGAGGGAGCCTCCCTCTGGACGCCTGACGAGTGGGGCGACGCGCTGATGGAGTACAAAGCTACCTCCGACTTCCTCAAGAGCCACTTCACGAGCTCGCTCGCTGCCATCGAGTTCAAGTTTCCGCGGCTGCAGGGGCCGCCTTTGTCGATGCCGCGCGGCCCTGTGCGGCTGTGAGCTATCGCGCCAGCCAGACTAAGCACGCCGCACCAATAGTGAGTGCGACCCAGGCCATCATCAGCGCATGTTTTAATGCTCGAGGATCGCCGAGACTCAGCATCGGTGCGATGTTGCAGGGAAAGTTGGCATGCGGCCGAGCGAGATGTTGGGGATCGTCACGTTGGATCTCGTCTTTCCCGAGGAGTCTCGGCATGTCCGTGGGCGTGGGCCTCTCACTGTGGGCCTCAGTATCAAGGCCAACGCCAAGGCGACGAGGCCCCAGTCAAATTCGATCTCGGAGTATGACAACCCCGTCCTGGTGAACACCCTGAGGCTCCCCCAGGCTCGGACGGCCCCCGGAGGCCGCCCATTCCCTGACCCCCTGGAGAGGCACCGCAAGAATCTCGTCCAGGTCCAGAAGGAGAGCCAGTTACAGATGGGTTGGACCCCGCACAGAGCTCGCGAGGGGTTCGCTTCAGAGGCCAGCGCGCGGGGTGTGTCTTTCGAGCAGATTGGGAGACGGACAAGTAGAAGGTCGGCTGCTCGCTTCGAGTCTACACCGACATGGCACAGGCCGCCCACATAGCCGCGGGGCTCAAGGCGGCGGGCCGGGGGCCCGCCTTCGATTGGGCGGCCCGACACTGGACGCGGGTCGCAGCACGGGCGCTCGATGGCTCCGAAGGGCAGCCGACGCCTCCCTGACGGGACCTGGGTGAATCCGTCGTCGATGGAGCCCCGCGCTGCTACGCCTCCGCCTGTTCCGTTTGGTTCTACCCCGGGATCAGGGCCCTGGATTTTGGCGAGCTCTTCGCCTCCCTTGCCTGCGTATCTTTCTCCGTTTTCGACGCCTCCGCCGACCTCGGCAGCTGCGACGCCGAGACTGGGAGCGTTGGCCCAGCTCGCCGAGCCGCCGCGGGCGCCTCACACAACGGCGACCGCGCCGACAAAGAATACTGGGCGGAGACGCTCGTCGCGCCCGCGGGCGTGGAAGGCGCGCAGGCCATGAGTTGGCGCAACAACGGCTGCTCGCGCTCCATTCTGATGATCGCGATGCCGGCGCCGGCCGCCTGGAGCCCGTTGCCGGCGCGCTCTGTCAGCATCGCCACGGACGTAGCCGAGGAGATGGGCGGGGCAGCGGGCAGGGCGATGGATGCCACGGCCCACGTCTCTTCCAGCGCAGCGCGCTTCCTGTCAGCAATCACAGACAACGCACTTGATTTGGCCGATGCAGCGTGGAAAGGAATCGATTCGACCAGCATTGCAGCCAACGGTTCGGCGGGGCGGCTGCTCGCACAGAGCGACGGAGCCCTCGAGACGCCCTTCACCCCAGAGGCGCAGAAGATCATGGCGCTGCCGGACCACTGGCGAGGGTCGCTCCAGGACACGCCGGCGCTCGCCGCCCCGGAGCGGCCCCTCCTCGAGATCCAGCGCCACCATGTCCACAGCGCTGGAGCCTTCACGTCTCCGAACCCGAGGGCGGCACGGCTCGACGCGGGGCACATGGGCATCGCGCGGCGGGCGGCCGAGCTTTCCATTGCGGCGAAGTGGTGCAATCCGCCGTGGGACTTCACGTCCGGCATCACAGCCGAGCACAACCGCATCGCCGAGCTGCTACACCAGGCCGCGGCGAACATCGCCCCGCCCGACCTGTCCCTCGCCCGTGCCACGCTGAGCGAGGCAGCGGTGCTAGCGCCCCCGAGCTGGCCAGTTCGGGCGCGGCGCCCGAGCCCGCGCTGGGCGACGCGGGCTTTCAGTGCCGGAGGCGGGACATCTGCCCTCGCCGCCCCCCGGCGACTCCCAGGCGAGGGAAGTCGTCATCGCCGACGCCGACGGCGGCATCAGCAGGGACCCAGAGGATGACAACACGACTGCGAGTGGAGGCGGGGGGCCGGCGAGCGAGATCACAAGACGTCGTGTCAGATGCGAGCATATTTTGCTGTGCAACCGCGTGAATACATTCACTGTGGCCGAAAGGATTTCGCGCTGCGGTCGACCGCTTCTCTTTTTGATACGCGCATCAGCGACGAATGGATGTTCCAGTATTCATCGAGGTCTTGTTGACATGGAGTTGCATTCGACAGTTTGCTTTATTCCGTGACGGTTCCGCGTTGCCCACTCCACGGCGCTTCACGCTGCTCACGGCTCTCTGTTCCCAAGTGTCAGGCCCCTGAGGTCCCTCCAAAAGGTCGGGGGCCCCGTCTTGGATCTGCACTTGACATGGGCGAGAGAGTTTACGGGCGTTCATTTTCAGTCGGTGAGCAGAGGGCCCACGGGGGGGATGCGCTGCAACTCCATAGTATTTATTTAGCCCAGCGGCACCCACCCTGGGTTCAGCATTCGCGCAGACACCCTTTCAGCTTCTGCCCTCCAGGCGTGTACGAGACACTCCTGGGGGGACCTTTGCCTCGCTGCCCGCGGCCCAGCCCTCCCTCGCTTGATCACAAGACGTTGTCTCAAATGCGAGCAATGTTTGTTGTGCAAGGCGTGTGAATACAGTAGTTTCGCCGAGGGGGGTTTGCGCCGCGGTCGACCGCTTCTCTTTTTGATGCACGCATCATCGACGAAGTTTAGCCATTTGAAGTATTCTCTGGCGGGGGGGGGCCTTGGATCTGCGCTTGGAAGGGGTGAGAGAGTTTATAAACGCTGATTTTCACTAGATTGATTTTCAGTAGGTTCGCAGACGGGCCCAGGGGAGGGATGCGCTGCAACTCCATGATATCTTAGCTCAACGGCACCCACCCTGGGCGCACGGCAGTCGCACAGGCACCCGTTCAGTTTCTGGCCTCCAGGCGTGTACGAGACATTCCTGGGGGGAGCTTTGCCTCGTCGCCTGCGGCCCAGCCTTCCTTCGTTCGATCACAAGACGCTGTTTCAGATGCGAGCACATGTTGTTGTGCAACGTGTGTGAAAGCATTCACTTTCGTCGAAGGGAAGTTGTGCTGCGGTCGACCGCGTCTGTCTTTGATACACGTATCAGCGACGAATGATGTTTCAGTATGAATATATGTATGTATGGTTGTATGCATGTATGTATGTATGTATGGTGTATGTAAATGTGTCGGCGTGCCTAGATGTGTGCGTATGCATGTGTGTATGTACGCACATATGTGTGTATGTATACACGAGTGTCCACATACAAGTATGGATATCCCTGCATCCATGCATGCGTGCATATATACGCTGTTGCATGCATGTATGCATACATACATACCTGGATATATACATATACATAGGTGTACACATATGCACATAAACATATGGTCGAAGCTCGCGTGTAAATGCAGAATCACTGGAGACAGAGCAACCGCGATCGAATTGCTAGCATTTCTTTTCCGTATTGAAGCCGTCCCGGCTCAGGGATGGGCACCTTGGCGGCGCTCGCGCTTGCCGGGGGATTCGGAGCTGAGCTGGGGCGGTGGACGGGCTCGACCTGGCTGCTGGAGGCCGCCCGCTGCGAGCCGGGGCCTGCCTGCCCGTCGCGCCCGGCCTGCCCGCTCTTCGAGTGCCCCGCCATACCGCCGCGCCGTTCGAGTGCCCAGCGATCCCAGCCTGCCCGGGAGCGCCGGCGCCTGCACCGCCGCGGGCCGCCGCGGAGTGGGAGGCGGGGCGCTGGAGCAGCGCCGCGGTCGCGGCCGTGGGCGTCGGCTGCTTCGCGATCGGGCTCTTGCTGTCGTTGGTGGGGCTGTTCCTGGGCAGGCGCGGAGATGGCGTTGCCGCTGCCGCCGCCGGAGACGTACGCGCACGTGCTCTACTCGGGGCACCCCAACCTATGGCACCAGCGACGCCTACCGGGACAGGTCGCAGGGTCGTTGGGGACCTCTGAGTACATGATCGTGACGCCCGACGGTGACGTGCACCTCGAGGACTACAGCATGCAGACCGTCGATGTCGCGGCGATCCGATATTCCAGCGCGTTCTGGCCGCCGCCGCCTGGCGTCCCGCGGGCCAGCGTGCACCGCGTCGCCGCGGAGCCAGCGGGGGCGGGGCTGGCGGGGATGATCGCCGAGGCGACGGTGGGGGCCCGCCGCCTCTTCTACGCGAGGGAGCTGGCGGCGGGACGACCAGCTGTGGACCCACCAGGTGGCGCACTCGAGGCGGTCGGTGCCGGGCCGCCGGGCCCCGGGGGCGGCGCGGCGGCCGTTGGGGACGCCCCCGCCGCGGCGCCTGGCGCGGCCGCGCCGGGAGCTGCCCCCGCCCCTGCTGCACCGGCGGCGGAGGCGCCAGTGCCGGTGGCCGCGGGCAGGGTCGCCGCGCCCGACGACGCGGGCCCGGGGCCCCAGCGTCGGGCGCGGCACCGGCGGGGCACCGCTGGCTGGCCGCCGAGGACGCGGGCGACGGGACCGTCAAGTTCGGCGACGAGCTGCCTATCGGCTCGGCTGGAGGGCCGGCACCCATGGGTCACTGGGGCCGGCGTGGCTGCTTCCTGGCGGTCGTGCTCCTGGCGGGCCAGCGGAGCGCGTTCAGGCAGGAGCACCGCGGGTCGGACGCCAGACTGCTGCCGGTGCTGACGACGGCGGTCGGGCGCAGTCGAGAGTGGCGATCGTTCGTGTCCGACTGCCGCGAGGAGACGCTGCCAGACTTCCTCGTCGCCGGGCCCCGCACGGTGAAGCGGCGCGTGGAGTACCAGCAGCGCGATGGGGGAGCCGCGCTGCATCACGAGAACTGGCGCAGCAGGAAGCGGCTCCAGGCGACCGACTACGGGGTCGACCTCCACGAGACCTTGTCGAAGGTCGCGGACGCGCTGGGGGCCCACGACCAGGCGGACTTGTTCAATCTGGCGGGGGTCGAGCTGGCGCACCGCAAGCTGCAGCTGGTGGGGCACTACCACGACGAGAGGGCGGCCGAGGCGGCGCTGGGGAACATGCGCGTCCCGACAGAGGAGGCGCTGGCCTTCATGGGCCACGGCCGCAGCTCGTCGATGGTGCGCCCAGCCCTCCTCGACACGGTCAGCCGCGAGATCGAGAGGGTAGCCACCATACGGAAGAACGCTCGGAAGTTCACAGAGGAGGCCAGCAGCCGCCCGAAGGGCGGCAAACCCGAGAAGCAGGGGTGAGCTGGCGGGACGGGGCGCGGGCGGACCCTGGCCCGAGCCCCGGGGAGCGTTCTGAGGGGGGGGCCGCTGAGGAAAGGTGGCGGGGTTTGCTGCCGCTGCTGCTGCCAGAGGCGCCGAGTTTTGACCAGGCCACGGGGCTGCTGAAGGAGGCCGGGCGGTCCAGCCGACGTCGTCAGGGAGCCAGGCGGCATCAGCACCAGCTCATGCACGAACTGGTGACCGCGCTGAACCAGCTGGACGCCGGAGATGATGCGCCCCGCGTCCCAGCGGCCGGGAAGCCATCGCTCATGCAGCAGCTGGCCATGGAGCGTTTCGCGCACGCCTGCGCGGCCATGGGGTCGCCGGGCGATCTCACGCCTCAGGCAGCCCTTCGGGAGCTCCGAGGCTCGGGCGGCCACGGGGACTGCGAGCCCGTCAGCCTCGCCCCGCCGAGCGTGGACCTGCTCAGCCTGCCAGCCGCCGGCGCGCAGCCGCGCCCCTTAGCGGGCCTGTTGGGCCGTGACGGAAAGCGGAGACTCAGCCAGTTTTTCGAGTCCAAAGTCTTGCCTAAGCACGCGGCCGAGGCACGGCGGGTGGAGGACGGTTTCAAGCGAGCCTACCTGGACCCCCTCCTACGCAGGCCGGACAAGTACGCGGAGTTCCTGTCGCGTCTCAGCTCGGCCAGTATGATCGATTTCACCGATGATCAGGAGGAGGGGATGGAGGTGGGCCTCTTCGCAGTGGAGAGGAAGAATGGGCGTCAACGGCTGATTATCGACGCTCGTGCAAGCAATTATCACTTGTCGGAGCCAGACGGTGTGGCACTCGCTACGGGGGCAGCCCTCAGCAGCATCGAGCTGGGGGACGGGTCCAAACTTTGTCTCGGCCATCGACATCCAGGACGCTTTTTATCAGATGGGCCTGCCGCCAGAGTTGCGCAAGCATTTCCATCTTCCTCGAGTCCAGCGACAACGGCTACGTGAGGCCGGTGTGATTGTGCAGGGCAGCGGGGTTTGGGCACGGCCGCGGGTGGCCGCGCTGCCCATGGGCTGGGCACACGCCCTGGCCCTGCGCCAGCAGATCCACGAGAGCGCGCTGGAGGAGGAGGGCGGGCTGGACCCCAGGCTCAGGGTCGCCGACGGCCGAGCGCTGCCGCCGCTGAGTGAGGGGCTGCACGCCGCCTACGTGGACAACTTCCTGGGGTTCGGCGACTCCGCCGCGCAGGCCGACGCACAGCTGCGGGCCGCTCAGCGGGGGCTGGCCGCGGTGGAGCGCGAGCAGCTCGGCTGGCGCTTCGACGGTGCTGGAGGCGTGCTTCGTCCGAAAATGGCGCGCCTCTGGCGCCTGCGGCTGGGGGCGCTCGAGCTCAGCCTAGTCGGATTCGCCAGCGGGCGGCAGGTCGAGCGGATAGTGGGCCACTTCACGTTTGCGGGCCTGGCGCGTAGGCCAGCCCTGTCAGTGTATGATGCCGTCTACTCTTTCTGTGCGCGTCACCAAAACCAGCAGCGTCGTCGTCCAGCATCCGTCGTTCGGGAGCTCCGATGGGCGGTCGCCCTCTTGCCTCTCGTGGCTGGGGAGGCTCCGCTGCTGCGATGCGTCGGAGGAGGGCCGAGGGGCCGTCGAGAGGGACTTCGACTGGGAGAAGGTGGCGGAGGTCGGGAGGCGGCAGGAGAGGTGGAGGCACAGGCAGCTCGAGGGAGGTACTCCGGCGAGGCCACGCGAAGTGCTCGAGGAGGTCGTCGGGGAGAAGGTCGGGTCCGAGCGATTCGAGGACGCGCCGATCGACATGGCGAGGGGGGGGTGGAGAGTGGCGTCGAGTGGAGGCTGGGAGCGGAGCGAGAGCATCGCCACCCTCGAGGGCCGGTCACTCGTGCATGCGCTTCGCCACGCCCTTCGAGACTCTCGTGCCCTGGGACGTCGTATCCTCTTTCTGACCGACAGTATGACGGCCACTCTGGCTCTGGGCAAGGCGTGCTCTTCCGCCCCAGGCATGATGCGCGTGGCGCGCCAGTTCGCCGCCAGGTGCCTGGCGGGAGGTGTGGCGGCTAGCGTCCGGTGGCTCCCCTCGGAGCGGAGCCCCGCTGATGCTCCGTCGCGCCAGCGGATGCCCATTGGGGTGCGTCTCCACTTCGACGGCCGCGAGCACCATCGAGCTGACGGTCAGCCCGCGGCTTGGCCGGTCCGCGCGGGCAGGAGCTCTGACAGGGCCGCCGATGGCAGGCTCGCCGCTGGCGAGCTCGCGGAGCTCGCCGCTTGGGAGGGGGCCTCTGCCAGCTGGGCCAGCTACCGGCGGCCTTGGCGGCGGGCGGGCCCAGGCGGCCGGGCGCGGCCCGGCCCTCGCCCGCGCGCCGAGGGTTCAGCCGGCGGCGCGGAGGCCGAGGACGCTGGCGCGGGCCGGCGCGCAGGCGCGGAGCAAGCAGGAGCGGGCCAGCCGGCGGCGCCGCGAGGCGGCCGCCCAGGCGCCCCCGCCGGCGGGCCGCACGCGGCTGCAGGAGGCGTCGGTGAGTTTGGCGACGGCCACCCGCTACCGCAACCTCGTCGGGCGCCTGCTCCAGCACTGGAGGAGGCTGCAGACAGCAGCCGCGCCCAGAGAGCCGATGGACCACGAGGTCGTTGTGGGCCACCGCCGCCTACGTCGTGCTGACCTTCCACTTGTACCTGCGGCCGTCGGAGGGCCTCCAGCTGACAGGAAGGCAGGTTGTGGCGCCCGCGGCGGGGTCGAGGCACCGCAGATGGGTCGTGATCCTGCACCCTGCCGAGGAGAGCGCACGGAGCAAGACAAATCAGGCCGACGAGGCGCTGGCGCTCGACCTGGATCCGTTCCGGTTCCTGGTCCCCGCGCTCCGTTTCCTGGAGCAGAGCGCCGGCCCCGAGGGGCTGCTCTTCGAGTTCAGCCAAACCACTGCCGCTCGGAGGGTCCGAGAGGCCGCCGCCCAGCGCGGGCTGCAGGAGCTCAACGTAGAGCTCTACAAGCTCCGCCACTCCGGGCCGTCGCACGACGTGGCGCTGGGACTTCGCACCTTGGCAGAGGTGAAGCTGCGCGGCCGCTGGGAGAGCGACCGGCCCGTCCGCCGCTATCAGAAGGAGGGGCGCGTCGGGCATCAGCTGGGACGCCTGCAGCCAGAGGCGCTCGCAGCAGCGCTGGCAGCGCCGAGCCAGCTCGCCAGTCTCCTCGCGAAGCCATGCGCAGCCTGCTGGCCCCGTGGCGCAGACGGCACATTCAGCCGCAGGTATTTCTAGAGCTGTTCAGTGGCTGCGGCCGCCTCTCGGACGCGATCAAGGCCGAGGGGCATCTGGCGCTGTCCTGGGACTTCCTCAATGGGCCAGAGTGGGACCTCACTTCGAAGGCGAACCAACGTCTGGTGCGAGGATGGGTCCGCGCTGGCCTATAGTGTGGGGGGCTCACATGGGCACGCCATGCAGCAGCTGGACGGTCGCCCGCGACCGAGGGCCCCTGCGCGACCGGGCCTGTCCCAAGCCATGCATGCCCTCACGCTTGCGCAGCCGCGAGCACCTCATGGGCCCTGCCGGAGCGAAGCATCCCGCGGACATCGCCCAGGTGGAGATCGGCAACTCGCTCGCCGCCTTCTCCGCCAGCATGCTGGAGCTGATGCACCGCTGCCGGCTGCCAGTCACCATCGAGAACCCCGAGTCCTCGCGCATCTGGTTGCTGCCGCGCCTAGGGCGCGTCGAGAGCTGGCCCTCGGCGTCGAATGCGACGGCTCACTACTGTCAGTTCGGAGAGCGCTGGCAGAAGCCCACCCGCTTCCTCGGCGACCACATCGACCTCGTCTCCCTAGACAGGCGGTGCGCCGGGCCATTGTGCTGTGCGACAGGCCAGCCGCACATATTGTTGCACGGGCCGCTGCCAAAAGGTGGATGCCGCACGAAGTTACCTGAAAAAATATCCAGTGTCTCTCTGCCGCGTCCTGGCCAAGGCTTTTTCAGTATCAAGAGGACAAAAGTTTGTGAATGTGTTGAGCCCCTTCCTCGAGAGTAGATGCAGCTCAACCATGTAAAGACCCACCCACCCACCACTGAGAGGACCTTCGGCACCGCTGGGAGCGCCTTCGGCGGGCTTGGGGAGACCTCGAGGCCCTCGGCACCTGGCACTGTTGCACGCCTCTCGACTGGCCGTGCGTCCGAGTGTACAGTGTGCCTGGCGCGCTTGGAGCGTTAAAGCCGTCCCCTGGCTGTGGGGGCACAAAGTGATGAGGCATGGTCGAAGCTTGCGTGCAAATGCAGAATCACTGGAGACAGAGCAGCCGCGATCGAATTGCTAGCATTTCTTTTCCGTATTGTAGCCGTCCCGGCTCAGGGACCCACCCGCAGACCCTTGGGAGACCTCGAGGCCCTCGGCACCTGGCACTGTTGCACGCCTCTCGACTGGCCGTGCGTCCGAGTGTACAGTGTGCCTGGCGCGTTTGGAGCGGTAAAGCCGTCCCTTGGTTGTGGGGGCACAGAGTGATGAGGCATACATATATGTGAACATGTGTATACATCAATACATATACGAAATAGGAATGTTTACCGATTGACACATGTATGTATGTGTGTATGTATATGTTGCTAGGGGGTCCTGGGCCAGGGGAGCGAGGGGAGACACATGTCCAAGTGATTGTGGCCCCCTCCTTGGTCACCCCGAAACGGCCTCGATGTCGTTTCAAGACGGCGCATGATGGCTCCAACATGGCCCCAAATCCCCCCAGGTGGTCTTCAGGCTTGCACAAGGTAGTCACAGATGGCTCCAGATAGCTGCCAAGAGGCCCGAGGAGTCCCCAATAAACCTCCAAGGGACTCTCCGAGAAGCCAAACTCATTGATTACCCATACGTTCATGAAGGATTTTAGCTTTCTCGCTTTTCCGAGGTTCCGACGCTCCACGACGGCCCGAATGGTTTCAGGAGCGTCCCAAGACAACCCAAAAGACTCCCCAGAGGGCTCCCAGACGGCCCACGAGCGCCCCAAGACGGCCCATGATGCCCCCATGACCAAGCCAGACTGCCCCACGAGGCCCCAAGAGACCCCGAAGAGGGGGAATTCTAACTAGCAGTGCGCCCTCCGCCCCAAATTGACCCCCGAGTCCGCCAGCAGTCCACCAACAGGCCTCCCAAAAGCTCCAGGAGACCCTCAGAAGATCCACATCATACCCCAAGAGGCCCCCAACAGCCATCCGAGAGGCCCTTAGGGAAGGCGGGGCCGCGGACCCGGGAGCCACCCCCAGCGGGAGATAGGGCAGATATTGTTGTCCACGTATTATGTCCCCGCGCTTCTCTCCCGTTTGTTGTTTCCCCCATCTTATTATCCGTCTCTTTCCCCGTCCCCCATGCATTCCTTCCGCTGTCCGCGATGCTCCTAGATCGTTCTTCCATCGTTCTGTTTGCTGTGGTTGCATCGAGTTCCTCCCTCCCCCCTCGAAGTTGATCCATCCGTCCCCCCGTACGACCCTTGTTCCATGCCCCATTCAGCGGTGATTCAGCAGTCTCCATATGTTGTTTGTGTTGTCTCTCTATATCTATCTCGCTCTCTCTCTCTCTCTCTCTCTCTCTCCCCCCTTCTACCTCTCTCTCTCTCTCTCGCCTGCGCCGCTCTTCTGCCTACGTGAGCCTGGCCCGGAGACAGATTTGTCCAATTGAGCCTTTGTTGGCCCCCTCAGAATCGTCAGGGGGACATCCTGGGACGCTTTGGGACGGGAGCTGCACTGGCAAGCGGAATACCATAAACAGGTGTAGACAGTGGATGGGGACGAGACAGGAGGAACATAGGAGACGCAACAGGCGAATGATGAAGTGAAGGATCATTGAACGAAAATGAAAATGAAAAGTCGAGAGGAGGAAGAGGAAGCCAAACTTTTGAAGGAAGTACGCTCACTTATCGCGGCAAGCAGTGTCTTGAATTGGTGTAGAACTTGAGCGCGCAGGAAGCGCGCGATGGATGGATAGATGGATGGGATGGATGGATGAATGGATGGATGGACGGACGGATGGATGATTGCATGGATGGATGTATGTATGGATGTATGGTTGTACGGATGTATGGATGCATGTGTGTCATTATCTTTGTGTGCATGTATGTATGTAGGTAAGTAGGTATGCATGAGTGTATGTGTGATGGTGTGCTTGTATGTGTGAATGTATGTGTGTATGTATGTGTATGTATGTGTATGTATGTGTATGTATGTATGTATGTATGGATGTATGGATGTATGCATGTATGTATGTGTGTATGTGTGTATGTGTGTATGTGAGTATGTGTGTATGTGTGCATGTGTGCATGTAGGTCGGTATGTATGTATGTGTGTATGCGTGTATGTATGTGTACGTGTGTATGTATGTGTGTACGTGTGTATGGGTGTGTATGTGTATGTATGCATGCATGCATGCATGCATGCATGCATGTACGTATGTATGTATGTATGTATGTTTCTCAATCAGAGCTTGCCTCTGTAGGGGTCCTAGCGGATTCATATGATTGGGTGATGTTTGCCACCGATTGTCGCGGCCCGCCCGGGTGCCCAGGTGCCCCGGTGCTTTATAGTTTGATGGACCTATACCTTATAGTTTTATAGCCCAATAGCCCTGTAGCCCAACAGGCCTATAGCCCTATAACCCTATAGCCTTATAGCCCGAGAGCCCTAGAGCCCTATAGCCCTATAGCCTTATATCGCTATAACCCTAGAGCCCTTAGCCCAATAGCCCCATAGCCCTATGGCCCTATAGCCCTGTAGCCCAATAGCCCTATAGCTCTATATCAAGAGCGCAAGAAACGACCCTACCCTGGTTTACGAGGCGCTGTGCGCTCAATCTCCTATGAGCTGGCTGGGTAGCGTGTCGCGCGGCGTCCTGGCGGCTGTCTGGCCTTTCGGAGCTACCAGGAGGTGAATATACATACCAAGCACTTGAAAACCCAGGGTAGGGGCGTTTTTTCCAACCCTAGACAATAGCCTTATAGCCCTACAGCCCTACAGCCCTATAGTTCTATATGCCTATAGCCCCGTAGCCCGACATCCGTATAGCCCTCTAACCCTATGGTCCTAAAGCCCTATAGCCCGAGAGCACCAGAGCCCCATAGCCCTATAGCACTACAGCCCTATAGCCCCATAACCCTATAGACCCATAGCCCTATGGCCCTATAGCCTCATCGCCCTGTAGCCCAATAGCCCAATAGCCCTAAAAAGCCTTTCATTGGGGCTGTTCTCCAGTATCATATGTATGTGTGTATGTATGTGGGCATGTATGTATGTATGATTGTGTGTATGTATGTGTGGATGTATGTGTGTATGTATGTGTATTGGTTTGTATGTATGTCGTATGTATGTATGCATGCAGTTGTGTATGTATGTACAAATGTGTGGATGTGTACGTATGTAATGTATGCAATGAATGCATGTGTGTATGGCTATATGCATGCATGTGTTTATGTGTACAGGTATGACTGCATGCATACCTGCATGTGTGCATGTGTGTACGTATGTATGTGTATGTACATGTGTATGCATGCATGTACGCATGCATATATGCATGTATGCATGTATGTGTGTGTGTTTGTAAGTATGTATGTGTGTATGTATGGATGTATGTATGGATGTGCATGTGTATGTATGCATGTATGTATGTATGTGCGCATGTGTGCATGCATGTGTGTATGTATGTATGTGGTTATGGTTACATGTATGTATGTATGGATGGATGTATGGATGGATGTGTACGTATGTATGTATGTATGTATGTATGTGTGTATGTATGTATGCTTCTTTGTATGTGAAGATGTATGTGTGTACGCACCCACGTCTGTGCATTCGGAAGCCCTGTGGCCCAGAGGTATCCACGTCCACCGCCAACTGGGATCCTGGGAGACCGGTTCCCTGGCGCTGGAAGTGGATTCTCTGGCCCCGCAGCCAGTCGGGGGTCAGAAGGGGAGGATTTGGCACTAAGGATAAGAAAGGGCGTCCAGGTTGAATTCGCTTTGTTCGGGGTCTCCTCCCCACCAGGTCCTCTTACCTCGGGGTCCCATGTTTGAAATGCCGACGCAGGGGTCCCCCCGGAACTGGCCTGCGCGCTTGGAATTGTGGCAGTGGGGAGGAGGAGGAAGAGGAGGAGAAGGAGGACAAGAAGGAGGAAGAGGCGCACACGCCGCAGCAGCATTGGGAGAAGAAAGAGGAGGAGAAGACGAGGAGAGAAGGAGGAAAAGAGGAGGAGACGAGGAGGAGAAGAGGAGGAGAAGAGGAGGAGAAGGGAAGGAGAGGAGGAGGAGGAGGAGGAGGAGGATTTTTTTTGACATCCACAGCCATGGACCCCACGTGAATGAGGAAGGTGATGAGGGACTTGCCGAACACCAGGACGACGGAGTAGCCAACCAAGAATACGACAACTCCCACCATCAGGAAAGATACTTCGAAGGAGTCGAGAACTTCAATGAAATACAAGCTTTGGACACGCAGACCGAATGACCGTCAAATCTCGTCGGACAGCGGCAGCCCATGCAATTCGAATAGAATGACGCCGCGACCCAGGAAGAGCCCCATGCAGTACCCGACAGATACCAGCAGCTCCACATACAGGAGGCGGGAGAGGTCGAACCAGGAATCCACGCTCCGTGCGAGAAAAAATGAGTGTCGTAACGGCGCCCCGTGCCGCGAGCCCAGAACCTGAATTCCATAAAAGGACGACTCAAAAGGGAGTATCTTGATGAAAAATGAGAAAGGCGACGCCGTCAGCCAAACAGTCGCCCTTCTCCTGGGTCATGAGGAAGATCTCGAGGAACCCAAACAGCCTTGCGTTCAGGAACAGGACCTGCGACATCGCGAGACTTCTCAAGAGCGGCGAACTCGCGAGAAGGAACATCACGAAGCCAGACTCGAGCAATGCGGTCGCGAGCAGCCCACCACGCTGCGCTCGAGACACGGTCGGGGCAATCCACATGACCAGCAGCGAGGGGGACGTCTGGGATAACCACGTCCTGCCACGCTGAGCTGCTGCTGCTGCTGCACACCCTGACATCTGACACAATCTCGGCGCAGCTGGAGAAGACCACTGCTCCACACGTGCACCTGTGCCCGACGGGATCCACGGTGAGGCCGAGGATCGGGTGGAAGCAGGCAGCGTCTGCGCGCAGACCGTCCTCCACTCCACCTCCAGCGCGACCAGTGCCACGGGGACGACGACCGCGAGGACGGCGACCACGTCCCTGGCGCTGAAGGCGGTTCAGCACAGCCCCCTGCGCCTCCGCGAAATCCGAGGCGGGGATGCCAAACTCGTGCGAGGCGAGGTTGCGCCGCGCTACGGCCAGAGGCGGGGGGTCCTCCTGGGCGATGTCGGCGGCCAACACCGGCGCCACCAGCCGGAGCCGCGCTAGCAGCTCGCCGCCCTCTTGCCCCTCCTGCCTGACCAGCTGCTCCAGCGCCGCTCGGGAAGCAGCAGCGTCCGCGAGCGCAGCGGCCAGTTGCGCCTGCAACCGACGGATGGCGGAGTCGGCCGCGGCGGCAGCGGCGCGCTGGGCAGCTCGGCGCTGAGCCGAGCGCTTTGTGGGGCTCTCCAGAGCCTCCTCCCGTACAGCCATCATGCCCGTGAGCCAAAAGCCCCGCTCCCCCAAGTCCCTCACGCCCGCCGCGTTGCCCCGTGAACCTGGGGTCGCAGGGTACGCCGAGGGACACGGTCCAGGAGCAGGGGGCCTACGGAAAGGCATGAGCCAAAATGGCTTGAGCCAAAATGGCTACGGAGGAGGAGGAGGAGGAGGTGGAGGAGGAGGAGGAGGAGGGGGGGGAGGAGGGGGAGGAGGAGGTGGAGGAGGAGCAGGACGAGGAGGATCTCCCCGCGGCCCTCCAGAGCCGCGCACCAGAGGGCGCCTCCTTGCCCACAGGGTCTCCTCCTCTTGCGCGCCAAGCCGGCGAGGAGGCGCGGGCAAGGGCGGCGGCGTCCCAGCGGGGGGACCAGGATGCGCAGCTGGAGAGGATGCAGGCGCGGCGGCCTCCTCGCTCCCTCCGCTGAGGTCGGACGCAAGAGGGCGGGGGGGGGGGGGGGAATGTCGGGGCAACGTCAGGGAGGGGGATCGCCTCAGGGGGGAGCGCATCGGCTCCCAACCGCCCACTCCTCGCCGAGACGGGGCCCGACAGCCCACCCCGCCCAGGAGCGGTGCGCTTGCGCCATCGGGGGCCCATCGCCGATCTGCCGGCGGTGTCGCGCCCCCGTCGTCCTCGCCCCGCCATTTGCTCGGGGCCCCTTATCCTCAGGATCCCCTTTTTGAAGGACCCCTCCAGAGGTGCGTTCTGGCCAGGATTTCGTGGCGCGTCCGGCCGGCCGAAAGGGTACGGAACGCGCTCAACATGTTCGATCTTCGATCCGCGAACCTCGAGTTCTGCATGGGTACTCTCGAACTCATACCCTCAGAGATCAGGGGCGGCCTAACCGACCCCTCGCAAGCCATCCCTTCCGTGCCGTGCCCCTCGCCTCATTCCAAGACGCGTGTATGCGGCCAGAGAGACGTTTGGAAAGCGAGGATAACGTCACGGAAGGTGCTGGTCACGGGAGGGGTCGGTTCGGGCGTTGTGTCATGTGGGGACCAGAAAGAGGGGGGGCGAAGAACGGTGCACTTCTCGAGCCCTAAAGGGGCTTTAGAGGGGCCCCTTGGGACCCAAAAGGGGCACGAAAGGTGCACGCGTCTACCCCCCCAATTGTTTCGCCCCCCCATGATTCAACGCCCCACGCGCAAGAGAGAGGCACAGGGTTGGACCCAAAGGCCGTTCTGCTGGGCTTCGGCTGCGTTATGTTTCTCGTTTTGGCAGGGAGGCACAGGAAAACAGGTTGGAGCGAAACGGAAAACCCCGTTTAAGTCCAGCCCTGAAGAGGCAGAACGAAAGAGAGATGTGCTCTTAAGTCGGGCCTGTCCCTCTACGGGGGGAATATGCAAAAATAGCCAAAAAAATAGTCGGGAGACTATTTTAGTACTTTTGAGCATTTTTCTGGCATGTTTTGACTAATTTTTATTTGTCGTCCATGGGGCGGCGCTGGCGAGGGAGCGGACCTCGGCCCCCCCGGTGCCCCTTGTGGGCCGCGCCCGCCCAGGCCCGCGGGGGCGGCGCACCAGGGGCGCCGAGAGGGGAGGGAGGAGGGGGATGGGAGGAGGAGGAGCAGGAGGAGGAGGAGCAGGAGGAGGAGGAGGAGGAGGAGGGAGGAGGGAGGGAGGAGGGAGGAGGGAGGAGGAGGGAGGAGGGAGGGAGGAGGGAGGAGGAGGAGGAGGGAGGAGGAGGAGGGAGGAGGGAGGAGGAGGGAGGGAGAGGAGGGAGGAGGAGGAGGAGGAGGAGGAGGGGGAGGGAGGAGGGAGGGGAGGAAGGAGGAAGGGGAGGGAGGGAGGAGGGAGGAGGGAGGAGGAGGAGGAGGGAGGAGGAGGAGGAGGGAGGAGGAGGAGGAGGAGCAGGAGGAGGAGGAGGAGGAGGGGCGTCGAGAAGGGAGGGCGGAGGAGGACGAGGACTAGGAGGAGGAGGAGTAGAAGGAGGACCTAGGCCTCTGGAGGAGGAGGAGGACGACGAGGATTTGGGTCTCTGGAGGAGGAGGAGGACGACGACGACGACGACGACGACGACGACGACGACGACGAGGATCTAGGCCTCCAGAGGAGGAGGACGACGAGGGTCTAGGCCTCCCAAACGGGGTCTGAGTAGATGGAGACGGAGGATCTCGTCGCATCGCCGATGCATCGAGCCCGATGTTGTCCACGCTGGCGTCGCCGATTCATCGCAGATGTCGCCGGGAGGACGAGGATCTAGGCCTCCAGAAGAGGAGGACGACGAGGATCTTGGCCTCCAAAACTGGGTCCGAGTAGATAGGGGCGGAGGATCGCGCCGCATCGCCGATACATCGGCGATGCGACTCGATGGGGAGTCCGATCTTCTCCACGCTGGTGTCGCCGATGCATCGCCGACGTCGCTGGTGCATCGCCGATGCATCGGTGATGCGGCGCGATCCTCCGACCCCATTTGTTGGGACCCCATCTAGGAGGCCTCCTTAGAGGAGGAGGAGGAGGAGGAGGAGGAGGAGAAGTTTCGAGGATCGAAGTCTGAAGATATACAATTATATATGTATACATATACACATGTGATTGTGCATTCCTACTCGTCGAGTTCTCCGGGAGGGGGCCTCTTTTCGCCACGGTTGAACCCGCCTCGAAAGTAGAGCCATTGCGCACCCCTGGAGAGGTCCAGTGGGGGAGAGGAGGAGAGGACGAGAGAAGGAGAGGTGCGGGTGCCAAGTAGGCACACTTCTTGTCCCTCGCCGTCATGTTGCTTTCCTTCTTGATCGAGGCCTATTACAGCAGCCAGAGCTCGACGCGAGCTTCAAAGCGACGATAATGATGCCCCGATTGGCCTTCTGCGGCTGTAGGCTCGGGAGCCGATTCGGGATTCGACAGACACTGGTAACGGATACGAGTCATCATTAGTACAGTGCTATGGCAGGTTCGTGTCGTGTCGACGCGGCGGCGATTTCAGCGCAGTCGTTCAGGGTTCAGGTTTGGTTGCCGCCAGTGGCCCCGAATCGGACGAGGCCTGGCCTCCCGCGCTTGCGAAAAGCCGCGATCCTTCCAGGGGGGATCCACGAAGCGTCAGAAGCCAACGCCGGCGCCGCCACGGCGCCAACCTTGCCGCAGCCGACGGGGTGGACACTGGGTGGGGGGCCCTCGGGGAGGCCCTCTTTTGGAGGCCCGTCCGCGCCGTCCTGCCCCATGCTGCCCCCGGGGGGCCTCCGCCTTCCTCGCGGAGGGGGGATGAGTGTCTGGACGCCCGAGATGGGCACGGAAAGAATGGGTCCAGTGCCCAGCAGCAGTTGCTGTTCATTTTGAACCGGATTCGCTGTCCACGCTGCCGCGGCCTGTGTCCATTCGAGACAGAGGGCCGCCTGCCCAACAGCGGCCGCTGTTGGTTCGGGACAACACTTGTTGTTGGCCATTGTACCCATTCTTTCCGCACCCATTTCGGGCGTCCAGAGAGTGGGCCCCTGGGAGCCGTCGCTGGGGGAGCCCGTGCTGCGGCGTCGCCCCACGGGGCCTCGATCCTCGATCCTCCTCGATCCTCGATCCTCCTCGATCTTCGATCCTCCTCCTCCTCCTCGATCCTCGATCCTCCTCCTCCTCCTCGATCTCGCCCAGTGGGGTCTCTCGATCCTCCTCCTCCTCGATCCTCGGCCCTCGACCCTCGACCCTGTAGTCCCCCCCCCCGAGGTAGAGCGCCTCGCGTCGTGGGAAGCCCCGGGGCCCGGACCGGACCCTGGAGCCGTCCAGAAACTCACCACCCACCAAACCACCCCAACCCAACCCGAAGGCTCAGATTTACCATCGATTTCTAGTGGGGGGGGGTCGGGAAACATCGAAAAAACACGCGTGGAACCCTTACCCCCCCCAACCCGAAATTCGGGTCTTCGGGTTGGGTTGGGGTGGTCTGTTAGGTAGTCAGAAACGGCTCGGGACGAGAAGCTGGTCCCCAGGGGAGCGGTCCACTGAACCTTCCGGCGGGTGGCAACGGGGGGGGGGGAGGTGACCCAAGTGGGGGGGGGGAAAGAGAAGTGGGCCCCAAAAAGGGCCCTCTATAGAGCCCCGCTCGGAGCCAGCGGGGGCCCGAAGGGGCCGTTCGGGGCCCTCCTCGGCATCCCCATGTATCGGGGGCGGCCCAGCTCTCCGCCTCCCGGTACTTCGCCTCCGGGTTCCTGTCCAAGGCGTTCCTTTGCATGCATTTCGCTTTCAGCACCGCTTGATCCCAGGGCTTTGCCCTCTCTTGGCCTTGACGTGAGGCCCCGCCTTCTTTTTCCCTTCTTCTTCTTTTAATTAAAGCTGTGCGCGGCCCGCTTAGCTTCGACCGGAAGAGGCTCGCTCTCGACCCGCGAATCAAAAGTATCGGGGGCGGCCAAGAGGGGGGTGACGACTGGGGGGCGGGGGGGTATCACGGCGGGCCATGATACAGTCGGGGCCCTGAAGAAGGAACCCTTTTCGTTGGGGAGGGGCTCCGTGTTCCTTGATTGTTTCACAGCTTGCCTCAGGTTTTCCCAAGGTTTTCGATGCGAAATCGAAGTTTAACCCACGGAAAAAAAGGGCCTCGTTCCTTATTTAGGGTTCCTTAGGTCAACGCCCCGACTGTATCATGGCGGGCCATGATGTCTCCCCAGATGTCATGACGCCTCCTCTGATTTCACTGCGCTCCCGGCCCTCCCCCTTCGGGCCGCGCACCCGCCGCCAGCCACGACCTGCCCCCCCCCCCCCTCTTGGACGCCATGGAGTTGATCCAGCGATCGCGAACGTGGACCAAGGGGTCGTGGATTAGCGACGGGTCCCATTTCCATGCGAAATCGCGGGCTCCCGCCGCCGAACGAGGCGGCACTGGCCGCATCTTGGGGAGGGCACAGCAGTCTCCTAAGAAGCCTTGCACCCATCCCCCTACCCCCTGTGCGCGCCGTCAAAGGAAGGGCTTGGGCATGCCGGTCAAGGTCCTGATGTCCAGGGCCCAGGTTTGAGGCTCGGCCGAGCAAGCGTGTTGAAGAGCAGCGTCTGAAAGTTAGGACACGCGATGTGTAAGTCACGAGGCAGGTCACCTTACATGGCATCCCATGGGCAACATGTGACAAGGCATCGAGGTGCTGCGCGTATTCGACGTCTTGTACTGCTAGTGTTCAGAGTATCGTTATTGATGGAGCGTCTTCCGTTGAGTCACACGGGGTCGTTTCTGGATCGCTCCTCCTGCCCCCCCGTTCCTCTCTCCTCCTTCTCTTCCTCCTCCTCCTCCTCCTCCTCCTCCTCCTCCTCCTCCTCCCTTCTCCTCCTCCTCCTCCTCCTCCTCCTCCTCCTTCCTCCCTCCTCCCTCCTCCACCCCTGATGGTCAGGAGGCTGCCTGACTGCAATCCAGGCATGGAGCACGTGGTCAGAGAGGCGATCCATTTTTTTGAGTGGGTCGCAGAGACCCTCAGAGGTGGCGCAGAAGGTCGACGGCGAGCGAGGGGGAAAGGTTAGAAGAGGCGGGCCTTCTCGGAAGGCTTGGAAGACCCCCCAGCCTTTGGAGAAGTTGTGTAAGCCTTCTCCGAAGACGCCGAAAACTTCTCGGAAGGCCCGAGTGCTTCTGAGAGGCCCCGCCGCTTTCTGAGGAGGTCTTCTCCTTCTAGCTTCCCCCCTCGCTGGCCGCCGAGAATGGAGAGGGCTTCGTCCTCGCGGCCTCCGTCGGGCTCTCGTCCTCGCGGGGGCGGCACGAAGGGGGAAAATGGCCGACTGCGCTTCCTCCTCCTCCTCCTCCTCCTCCTCCTCCTCCTCCTCCTCCTCCTCCTCCTCCTCCTCTCGTCCTCCTCCTCCTCCTCCTCCTCCTCCTCCTTCTCGTCCTCCTTCTCGTACTCTTCCTCCTCTTCCTCTCGCCCGGTTCGTCTTGGGCAGGATCCGCGCTCTCCGGCGGCAGGGGTTGCATCGCGCCGTAAGTGTGGAGGAGGAGAAGCACAAGAGCGCACAACAACAGAACAAAGCGACAGCATCACACCCCTCGTGAACCAGCACATCGCAGGTGAGCTCAGCGGTGGTGCTTGCCTCGTCGTGCGCTCTCTGCCGCACGCCGCTCGACCGAAGCGAACTTGCCCACCCCTGCCATCCCCGCGCACGCCGGAGGAGCAGGCACAGAAGCAGAAGGAGATGGAGGACCCGGCGGGAAGATGCTTCCGGGAGAAGGAAGGATTCAGGAGGGAGAAAAAACACAGACACAATAAATCGTCGACTCCCCCGAAAAATGTAGGAAAACATGGGAAGTGGGAGGGAGGCAGACGAAAGCCCAGAAGATATGGGAAAACATGGGGGAATCCCGTCATTTGTGTACATTTGTTTGTGTGTCCCAGGGCCCCTTCAGGAAGGGTGCGTGGAGGGAGGGAGGAAGAGCCGTCGCAATCACATCGGCGTGCGTGCCAGGAGCCTCTGTCATGTGGCGCGCGGCGAGTGGCCAGGAGCGCGCGCTCCAGAGGAGAATCGTGGCGGCTCGGGACGCCAGCAGTAGGGTAGTTTCGACTGTGCGCACTGCCAGTGGGCCCATTCTCACGATACGAATGTGCGGGGACGAGCACTATACAAGCGCGTGCTCTCATCAGCGGCCGTCTGTTGGATGGAGCGCGCAATTGCGCTGCGATTGCGGCTTGACCAAGCGGTGTTTCGCCCCGCGCGCGTGTAGGATAATAGGTTCGATTTCGTTTTCCCACGGCAGTAATTGCACCATGGGGTTCGCATCGGCATCCCAAGGATTTGCTCCCGACCACCATCCGTAACCGTTGGGGCGCAAGCCGGCGGGCCCTTGAATGAAAATCACCGCTCTCACCTTGCCAAGGCCCATTATGTTTGTCACAGTGCGCTCTTCCCAGGTGCATTTCACGCATGATGCAATTCCGAGTGTGTTTCTTGTGGCCGCCTGGTGATGGACACGTACTAGGATTTTGCGCATGGTCACACTTCCTTGTTCGACATGCCACCATTGACCATCATTGCGGTGGACACAGCTGGCGCAACTGACCAGGTGCCACAAGCAGATCGTCTCTACTGGGCGGCTACTGGCAACCGACTCTTATAGGTATTTCGGAAATTGGAGGCAAATTGAGTGTGCGAGGTCATCGAATGCAAGGTGACTACAACTCCAATCAGGCCTGAGAGGTTCAGCACTGGAAACGATGGTGCGTCGGCGATCATGCGACCAGCAGCAGGATTAGCCGCACGCTGCGCCAATCTCTGCCGCAAGGGCTGCCAACGAGCTGCGAGGTGTGCTCGCGGCTTTTGCCGCAGATGCTGTCCAGCATATTCTGCAAAGTGCTGCGCCGAGCAGTTCACCCAGGCTCCGTCGGAGCTCTCCGGCGTGCGCATGCCGTTGGAGTCGTTGGCGCTCTCTGCGGCTGGCACGTCGAGAAGCGGCAGATCCCGCAAGCACCGGGCTCGCAGTGTTCACAAACAGTGGGAGGAGCACGGTTGTCCAGAGGAGGTGGCCAATGTTTTGGGTGCACGTTGTGGAAGACTTGCCAGTGAGCTCTGAGCCCCACGCCAGCTCGATCGTGGAAATAGTTGTTTGACTGGAGTGGGTGCCTCGCATCTCTCGACAACCACCAGAAACAAATCTCAAAAAGGAATTTGTTTGGCGAAGGACCCAGCTGTGAGTAACGCAGTCATGAGTATTGTCTTCGGTGGAGCTCCCTAGGCGCGGTGAGCGCATGCGAACGCAGCCACTGGGGTCTTCGGTGGAGTTCCCTATGGGGCCACGAAACGTAAGAGACGTATGCCGAAATACGGTTGGGCGGACGCATGCGAAGGCCCTTCGGTCTATGGGGCCACGAAACGTGTGAGGGATGTACCCAAAAAGGTGGGGCGGACGCGTGCGAACACAGCCAGTGGGGCCTTCGATGGCGCTCCCGATGGGGCCACGAAACGTGTGAGGGCCGTGCCAAAATGGGCGGGGCGGGCGCATGCGAACACCGGCACTGGAGCCTTCGGTGGAGCTCCCTATGGGGCCACGAATCGCATGAGGAGTGTACCGAAATGGGTTCGGCGGGCGCTCCCTATGGGGCCACGAAGCGTATGAGGAGCGTGCCGACATGGGTTCGGCGGGCGCATGCGAACACGGCCACCGGGGCCTTCGGTGGAGCTCCTTGTGGGGCCAAGAAACGTGTGAGGGGTGCTGCACTGGCGCGGAGGGCAGGAACAGGGACGGGAGGAGGGAGGACGGGGAGGAGGAGAAGAGGAGAAGGACCGTGGGGCGCCATCTCCTCAAAACGAGGACCCAACACCACAGGATGGTCAAGAATTGTTCCCGATCGCCAGGCACCTCTGGTCGACCGCCCGGCCCCTGTCTGCAGAATCTCGGCCCGGCTGCCGGGATTCCCGGCTGCTCGTGGGGTCCCGCCCGCTGGGTTGGCGGGGCATCCGGTCCCTTTGAGGGTCCCGCCCACACGGTGTGGTCCTCACCGCAAGGGCTGGTCGCACATGGGGTCCTGCCCACAGGATCTGGCCAAGGCGCCATGATTCCCGCTCGCCCAGGAGGTCCCGCCCAGCTGAAGGCTCTGGCCTGGCCTGGCATGGGGCCATGCCCACCGGGGCTTGGCCCGACTCCCTGGACTTCTGGTCGCCCACGAGGCCCCACCCATGCGGTCCTGGCCAGGCTGCTGGGAGATCCTGCCCACAAGGTCCCGCCGTTGGGTTCGCAGCTCGACCGCCGTGCTTTTCCGGGTCTCAGGAGGGAGAAAAACACACAGACACAATTAATCGTCGATTCCCAGGAAAATATGGGAAAATATGGGAAGTGGGGGGGGAAGACAAAAACCCATAAAATACTAGAAAATTTGGGACTATTTGTGTTTATATGTCTTTACCTGTGTCCTTGGGCCCCTTCAGGGTCGCCCATGTGGTCCCCTTCTTCACGGCCCCCGCTTTGGCCCAGCCGCCAGGACCTCTGGTCCCCCGGAGGATCCCGCCCTGTGGGCAGTGCCCATACACGGTCCGCGCTCGGCCGCCCGAATTGCTGGGGCATCGGAGCGGGGGGTCAGGAGTTGGGGGGGCGTGGACGGCATGGCTGGGGCCGTGCTGTGCCCCAGATGTCGTGGAGGAGGGGGAGGAGGGGGAGGAGGAGGAGGAGGAGGAGGGAGGAGGAGGAGGAGGGAGGAGGAGGAGGAGAGAGGAGGAGAGGGAGAGGAGGAGGAGGAGGACGAGGAGGACGAGGAGGACGAGGAGACGAGGAGGACGAGGAGGAGGAGGACGAGGAGGACGAGAGGAGGACGAGGAGGACGAGGAGGAGGACGAGGGAGGACGGAGGAGAGGAGGAGGACGAGAGGAGGACGAGAGGAGGACGACGATGAGGAGGACGAGGACGAGAGGAGGAAGGAGGAGGAGGAGGAGGAGGAGGAGGAGGAGGAGGAGGAGGAGAGGAGGACGAGGAGGACGAGGAGGACGAGGGAGGAGACGAGGAGGAGGACGAGGAGGAGGACGAGAGGAGACGAGGAGGAGGACGAGGAGGAGGGAGGACGAGAGGACGACGAGGACGAGGAGGACGAGGAGGACGAGGAGGACGAGGAGGACGAGGAGGACGAGGAGACGAGGAGGACGAGGAGGACGAGGAGGACGAGGAGGAGAGGAGGGAGGAGGAGGAGGAGAGGAGGAGGAGGAGGAGGAGAGGAGGAGGAGGAGGAGGAGGAGGAGGAGGAGGACGAGGAGGACCAGGAGAGGAGGGGGAGGAGGAGGGGGAGGAGGACACCCAGATCTCGTGGCCCCCTCCTCGCCCTCCAGCACCTCCCCTGCCCCCCCCCCCCCTCGTGCCCCGGGCCACGCTGCGCACCCCCACTCCCCCCCCCCTCTGCCTGGCCCCTTCGTGGGCACACCCGCCGACTCCGGAGAGGTCGCCCACGGGATTTCGTTCAGGAGGAAAAGAAACACCCAGACACAAATTAATCTTCGATTCCCCAGAAATTACGATTCCCCAGAAAGTATTGGAAAACATGGGAAGTGGGGGGGAAAACAGAAGCCCCGAAAACATGGGAAAGTATTGGGAATCCTGTTATTTGTGTGTACTTATTTGTGTGTCCTTGGGCCCCTTGAGTCGTGGCCCGGCCGCCGGGGATGTCGTGGCCGCTCCCAGGAGGAGCACCCCCCACGAAGTGCGCCGCCTGCGCAGTGCTGGCGCCAGGACTCCTAGGGATGCCGAGGGATGCCGAGGGATCTCTGGAGGAATTTCTGGGGATCCTGGGGGATTCCTGAGGATTCCGACTGGGGATTCCCAGGAGGGATTCCTGGGGATTCCGAGGGACCTCTTGGGGATTCCCAGGAACTTCTGGGGATCCTGGGGGAGTCCTGAGGATTCCGATTCGGGGGATTCCTGGGAATTTCTTTCTGTGGGTTCGGCTTCCGAGGGGTTCCTGGGGCTTCCAAGGGATTCCTGAGGACTCCGAGGCCAGGGTTGTTCTCGCTGCTCGGGGTCCGCGCGGAAGCCCGTCGAGCCACCAGCGGCCCTCCCTTGCGCCTGCTGTCCACCGTGGGGCCTCCCGGAGGCATCTCGTCGCCACGGCTCGATCCGCCTCGAAAACGCAGCCGCGCCCAGAGGAGGGCAGGAGGAGGAGGAGGAGGAGGAGGAGGAGGAGGAGGAGGAGGAGGAGGAGGAGGGAGTCCTCCCCCTCAGCCACGCGCAGAGGGGGACAGGGGGAGGGGGGAAGGCTTCGCAGAATGATTATGTTTCTTGGAAGGCGCGGGCCTTGTCTGTAGATGTATGGCCCGCCCCTTCTGAGAAGCGGCACTCTTCTAAGAAGTTTTCCCCCCTCTCCCTGCCGCACTGTGCGCCGCAAAAAAAAATCTTCAGGATGGAACCAGGAAGGGGTCTGGGGACCGATGTTGTGAAGACGTGCGCCGGGCGGAGAGCCACCGGTTTCTCGATTGGCCCTCTTCCAAGAGTCGTTGCCACTGCCTCGTGAAGGCATCGTGAGCATTTGACAAGATTGGTCATAGTTCCATTGCTCTTTCGATGTCACTGTGCGGCGTACAGGGGCACACGTTCTGAGACGATTCGAGCGCGCGGCTGACACATTACGTTGACTATCGCATTCGAGATGCTCACGATCTTCTGTGCGGCTAGCAGCACTTACACACGGCCGTGTTCTGAAACGCTGGCTCGAGCACGCTATGTTGAAAAG